AGCCTATCATATAAAAAGAAGATAACTTACGACAAAGTAACATACACGAGCAAGAAACGTTCTGATACAATAAAAAATAACTTAGTTATACATATGTTTATACTCGGTATTGAATATAAGCAACCTCTAAAGAAAACTGCAAATTAAAAAAATTATAAGCAGAGTATAGGTTAAATATTTTGTTGAAGATAGGAAACAAAATTAGGGTTGACAGCTTTATAATCTGTACCGAATTCTGGCAAATTTCGTTTCTTTATATTTTTTAAATCTGTACTTAATTTTTCTCAATGCTTATATATTTTTAAAAGCATAAGATTATGGATACTTTATAATCGATTTTTGTGCTGTATGAGTAAAAAAATAGTATGTATTCGTTTGTTTTTTAATTTCGCGTAAAGTTACTCCGGAGCTAGTCGTCACTAATTTAGCAGTAATAGACTAAAGGGAAGGTAGTTAGCAAACATCACTCACCGCCAGCTCTTGGGCTACTCTTTTCACAAAGAATAGTGGGATTGACCGTCACATTATAACGCCCACAAGGTTGAAAGTACGAGCATGTTCGGTGAAGAGGATTCGAAATCATGACCCACAGCTTACGAGTTGAGCGCCTTAACCGCGAGGACATGCTAGACCAAAACAGTAAAGGTGTTCTACGTTCAGATTCACAAATGTATATGAACGAGTAAACTATTGACGTCACTATCACCAAAAGCAATAAAAAAAAAGCAAGTTGATTGATCGCAAAGTATGTTTTAAATCAATGACAGCAAATTCAGAAAACATCTGTTAATTGAATATTATAAATTGTTCATATTTAACAAAAAAAAAGAGAAAACACGTTAAAATATAAATTCTTATCACGAACAGATCTAATTATAGTTTTTGTGTGTCTCAATACCAAGTATAGTATACAAATTGAGCTTTAAGTATATATAAATATTTACCCATTTGATCATTTTTGGATTCCAACAGAAGAGCGACTGAAGCATAAAGTTTCGTGGTGAGTTACAGGTGAAGCTCAAAGAAGTATCTGTTTTACAGGTGTGAGTAT